AAACCCCGGTTACAAACACCACCACCCCCAGAGCGGCCGGTAACGAGCACAAACAGACACGGTCCTGCGGGCGGGCTCTCCCCGCGCTGGCTAAAGCGATTTAATGCGTTCCCCACACAGCAGCCGGCTGTGCCGGCCTCAGGACAGGAGCTCTGGGGTTACTGGACAGCACCACTGCTGTGGGCCCCTCATCCCGCCGCCCAGGAGCAAGGCTGCGCATCCCCTGGACTCCCCCCACCCGCGGGCTCCGAGGCCAGGCCTCTGCCCCCTCGGGCTGCCAGCCCCACGCACCAGCAGAGTGAGGGCCTGCACAGCACCCAACCACCAGCAGCTTTGCAGTGGCAGCCTGGTAGAACACAGATTTCCAGCATCAAGACACCGTAAGATTTCTCTAGAAGCAAATACCAGTTTCAAAGAGCCAAACTTGGTCCTAAAAAAGCCAGGCTCCACGAGCCCAACAGCTGCCTACTTGTGGAAAATGGATGATCAATAATAAAAATACATCAAAAAGCATCTTTGATGTTTTTCAGCTGCCGGACAGCCAGGTCCACAGGGAGGTTGAATTTCAAGTTGCTCAGGCGGCTGAGAACGTTGAGCGCGCTCTCGAAGCCGGTGTTGGCCATGTAGCTCCACGGTTGGTAGTGGGACTGCACCAGGGCTCCAGATTTGCAGATGAGGTTGACCCAGGAGACCAGGCGCTGCTCGTTCAGCGCCATGCACACCAGCGCCTTCAGCTCCGAGTCCGCACTGCGCTTGAAGGGGTCGTGCTCCGTAAGCACAGTGTGGATGGCCGTGAGCAGGCTCTGCTTGGGGGTGACGGCCACCCCTCCCGTAACAGGCAAGGCAAAGGACTGGGACAGCTTGCGCGCCGGCGATTCCACAAAGGCTTGTCCATTCTTGGTGTTGTAGTACTTCACAAAGAGCTCCCAGGGGTGCATGGTCTGTGGGGATGAGGTGAATGCAGGGATCAGGCACGCAATGGGTGCCAGTACCAGGCTCATCCCCTGCGAGGAGGCGTAGAGCCCGTGCGCCATCAGGTCCCGCAGGGCAATGGTCAGCTCCTTCCGCACAGCCAGCGTCAGCTCATCTCTGCCTCCCAAGGGGACGTCCTGCGGGTCAGAGGAGCTGACAACGTGGTCGTTGTGCTGGTGTTTCACAGCCAGCAGCCTCACCCGCTCCACCGACAGCTCCAGTTTCTTAACCAAGGGGGAATAGTCCTTGTTGGCCTGGTCCTTCTGCCAGAGGCTGCGGGGAATCTGGCCAGTAGCACAACCAAACTGGCTGACGGCAAATATTTGCAGCACAGCAAGCATGCGGCGCATGAGGTGCAGGCCCGTTTCTCGCATTTTTCTGGCATCTTCTGGGCTCACTGGTCAGGTTAGAAAAGAGAAGAGGATACTCTCATTAAGGAACGAACAGCTCAGCTCTTTCACATGCACAGAGGGAGCACAAACATCCGCTAAACGCCACGGGTTCTCCTCCCCAGGTTTTGTTGCAAGCATCGATGCCCACCTCTGTTTCCAGACATCCGTGTGTTCGTTTTGCAGGAGCCACCACCGTGTTTTCTGCCTGCACATTCACAGTGACCATTTTCTGCCTTACCAGAGCTTCCAACTTCATCTAGAACAAGAATTTCACACTATTATTTCACACCTGTGAATTTAAGCTGTGCATCCCAAGCATTAAGGTTAACATTCCTTTAGCCCTCCCTGCACCCTTTCTGTCAGCTCTCTCCCCTCACCATCAATTCAGCAATCTGCACTTCCTGTGGCCCAGGGACCCGATTCAACCCATACCTGGAAACACTCAGCACTGACCCTGAATGAAGCTGATGAACATTTCGAGGTCCCTTATCTGCGTCTTCAGCTGCTCCACCAGCTGCTCCTTCACCCTGGCTGGGTTAACGATCTGTGCTATGGCCACATCCACACGCTGCCGCAGCTCCTCTGGAGACAGCGTTGCAACATCTTCACTCAGGTCCATGTCCAGCTTCTTTATCAACTCATTTATAATCATCTGCAAAACACAAGTTGGCAGCATGACCTCTCCCTGTGGCTGCTGCCCAGGAGCCTCAAAACACTGCTTCACCCGTCCGCTACCCCGGACACGGGCCACCTTCACTGCACACAGAAAACTGCAAGAGAGGACGCAGCACAGGTTTACACATGCAGAAGAATACAGATGCCCTATTGAACTGTTGGGGATAAATGAGAACTGGACAACTCCAGCAGCCTGCAGGGGCTCACAAACATGCAGAGAAAATACCGGCAGGACGGGCGAGCCTTACCCGCTGTCTCTCCATCACCACGGACTGTGGCAGGGAATCGTAGCTGCCTTCCTGGTAGGCAAACGTCTCCAGGTCATCCAGCTGCATCTTGAGCTGCAGGATCAGCTCCCGCTGCTTCTCCTTCTGTGCCTCGATTTGCTCCTGTTTCTCTCGCTCACTCTGAGAGGTAACCGGGAAATAAAACAGAGGAGTCGCTGCACAGCCTGGCCCCAGAGAACAGGGTCATGGTATAGGGAGCATTCCCTTCAGCTCACGCTGGGCTGAAGAGATGAGCTGTGGTGCAGGAGAGGCACCAGCCCCCTCGACGGGGCCCCAGACCCCC